TTTCGCTTTCCTTATTGTAGAACGGAAATATTATTTTAAGATATTTAAAGAACAGTAAAACCTCGTCCTAAATGGCAATTTGCTTTGAAAAATTTGGAGCAGTTTTTAAAGAAACGGCGTTTAAGCCCTACTGTAAATTCTAAAATTTAAAGCTTTATTTCTCACAAAATTTCTTACATACACTTAATTTGAAGTCATTTTAAATAATTTAACTTATAAATACAATAGTGTTTACAAATTGCTGAAAAACCAACGGCGTGAGGTCTTTCAAAAATTTACAATTGTGTATTTTTTAAAAAACCAAAAAAATACACCGAAATGAACTTTACGTCATATTAAAGAGTACAATTACCACTATCCGTTTGAAGAAAAAATTTGGAGCCGTTTTTGAGCAAATGGTGTTTGAGCGTTTCTAAAATTGCGGAGTTTTGAGCTAATTTTCATATAAAATGGCAGAGTTTTCGAGAAACTTTATATGATATTATTTAAACCGCATGTACTCATAAATACAGAAATGTGAACAAATTGCCGGTAATGTAAATATTAACGACTTGAGAGACAAACAAAAAAAATATATTTTTGTCATTTTTTTAAAACAGAATAGCAAGCGCAAGCAATATAGCGTTTATGAAATCTTGTGCATCTCTACCAAAAATTTAAAGAAAAAATTTGGAGACGTTTTTGAGAAAATCTTGTTTTCATAATTTTTTAAGATTTACAAAATGAAATTATTTTGAAAATTAAACTTTTCATGCAATATTGCTCGAAACATACTAAAATTTTCACCAACTTGTACATGACCTTAATGAAAGAACTAATTTTGCACAGATTTTGGATGAAGGAAAAACCTGTATCTTCAATTTTGTAGTTGTAGGAAGACGCGGGAAAATTCAAACTTTTCAATTTTCGAAAAATGAGAGTTAACCAAGAAAATCGTACCAATACCAGCTTTATAAGCGCATTTTACTTTACTCGAACAAAAAATCTAAAGAAAAAATCAGAGCCGTTTTTAAGAAAATTATAAACTACCATAATTATCAGTTCCTCATCCAAAGCACTCGTATCCCCATCCCCCTACCTCCGATTTGGATATCTCCTTAGCCTGCTCTAGCCCTTCATCCTCGCAGGCGATCTAAATTCAAAATCCACTTCACGGGGCTGCTTGACAAGCAACATGACCGAACTAAGACTAGAAGACTCCCTCGACAACTGTTCAGGCTGCGAAATATTGCTTAGATGATTGGGAGAGCATTAGCAGAAACTGCAACGAGAAGTTTTATGCGCCGCCTTCTGTTTTCTCATCAGACGAGAGAATTCTAAAAAACGCGACACATGACTGACAAAGATTATTACTTCGCTGTAAGACTGTCAAGGTTACCTCTTTTGGGCAAAAATACACGTTCTCTTTACGAATTTCACGTTATTAATGCTTCCTGGTTCTTCACGTTTCCATGTTTCAGAACGCTGGTTCAAAGAAAGTACATGATAATTGCTTGCTGCCAACGTACCAACAACTTACAATGCGCCTAATACGCGTATTGCTTAGCTTCTCTGCACGATAGCTACGAAAATGGTCGTGGCTCCTCTGATTTTAAAACAATACGGACTAGTCGCGTCTGATGTAGAAAAAAATTGGATTTTGGGAAATCTGACAATGAGTAAATCTTTCGTCGCGGCCGCCCAGAATGTGGTGCAAGCTATTGGCGATTCTTCGAAGCAGTTGAAAGTCGATTTCAAAGAGCTTTGTACAAAAATTATTTTTTTGTCGATTGTGAAAGAATTCGCGCGGTTCTTGGCTCGAAAGCGGGAAGTTTGAAATATATGGTATTTTCTTAAATGCCTTAAAAGCGTAGCAAAACAGATGTTCGAAGCTTGGCGCCAAATTCGAATTATTTGACCGCCCATTTACCAACAACAATCCCCTTTGCCAAGCAGATCCACCTACAAAATTGACGGCTCCTACATGACATCCTTCACAAAGTACTACCCTTCTCACAACTCCTCCATATTCCACCTCCCAATAATATTAACATCCTCATTCACAACACCTTTCATTTTATCCTAAACACCCAATACTAATTGGAAATCTTTGAAACTACTACTATCCAAAAAGTTACATGTCCCATCCATTATCCTAACAATCTCTTTCATAGATTCTTCCACAGGCCTTAACCACCAAATCCTACACACACACACAAAAGAATCACCAAATATACTCAGCACCTAAACACAATTCTTTCCTACGAAATTATAACGACAATTAGATTAACAAGATCCACCATGGATTAAAGAGACTTCAGCGGAAATGCTACAATACAGACGCAACGAGGACAAGAAACTACTGAGACAAAGACGGGTTCAGACACTATTATTACCATACGAGACAAAGAAATGCAAATTCTTATCCAAGGACACAAGCAACCCCAATAACCCACATAAAGTAATCAAGGCAGTACAATCCACCCCAACTAGAATTTCTCCTCTCTACACCAACCCAAACTCTTCGATTCCCAAACCATCTCAAACACCCTCGCCCAAATCCTTGCCGTCCGCTACCTTCGCCGAGATATCCCAATCCCCGACAATGTAAACCTCCCCTGCCTGAAAACTCCAACTTTACCTCCCCCAGTCAGCAAACAACATGGTCGACAAATAAAACTGAAGCAAATCCTGACTATGACAAATCAAACGTTCTAGGACCCGACGGAGTCCTCCCCCCCCCCCCAACTACACAACCTCCCTAAGAATGTCATTGACTTTCTCACCCTCATCATAAATTATCCTATTTTCCAATCCTCTAGGAACGGCCCATACATGATTTCCAATACCGGCAAGAACATCGGCATCCCACTAACTTCAGACCTATCAGCCTTCTACCCATCCTCAGCATAACTTTTTTAAAAATTATTCTCCTCCGTTTAACCATCATTGACCCTATCCTGCATCAATCCCAATATGGATTTCGCGAGGGACGCTCTGCGGCCCTTCAAACCTTCAACCTAACGCTATCCATTGCCACACCTCTTCAAGATCGCAAAGAAATCACCTCTATCTTTACAGATTTAACGTAAGCCTATAATAACGTCTCCCACCCAGTTCCTTTAATGAAAATTCGTCTCTACACCCCTCCCCATATCCACTCTCTACTCCAACGTTACCTCCAATAGATCATTTTTCATCAAATATCAATCCAAAAGGTCCCCCAACCACCCCATCAAGCGGGCGCCGAGTTTTCCCCTCTCATTTTCCTCTATATTAATGGCATCGCTTCCACCCCAGGAGTAGAGAGGTCGCTTGCCTCTTACCGCAATCTTATAACCATTCCCTTACCAACCACCAAAAATCCTATTCCTTCCACCTCTGGACCTCCTAAAAATCAATTACAATCAAACCTACCACATCCCATTCTTCTACAAAACCTTCCCATCAAAACCACCCTCTCTAAAAATAAACAACAATCTCGTCCCTTGGCAACCCCACAGAAAAATACCTTGGCATCATCCTTTGGTGATGACTCCTATGGACACACCGTAACATTACAAAAACCAATCTCATCCCCATCAATCTCTACCCCATTATTGCAAACCTATTAATTTCCATCCTTAAGAAGATCCAAACCTAATAAACCTACATCTGCCCCATCCTCTCCTATACACATCCCACATGGTTCCAAAAAATCTAATCAAACTAGCCTTAGCTAGTTTGAAACCCTGCAAACCACGTACCTACTCATTGCTCGCCCCCCCCCCCCGCTTCACCATCTTCAATGAGATCCGAAAGACCCATAAATGCCCCACATCCTCACCACTACAATTCCTCGATACCTCATATCTATCAATATACAAGCCCAAATTACAAAATCTACCCCTACCACAGTCACATCCTACGAAACCCACCCCGACACGCACGGAAAAAACACCTTCTTGACATTCTGCCACTTCCTCCCCCTATAACTCAGGCCGAAGGGCAGACCAGACAAATACATGTAACGACTAACGATACATGTAACAATTGACAATGACTGTACTACACAAAAAACAATCTAATTCCCTTCCTTCCCTTCCCCATCATCCAAAATCCTCAACACAACAACACATCCTACATTAATAAAATAAACTTATTGGGGCACATTTTTAGGCGAACGTATTTAATTTCCCGGCCAATTATGCCCAGAAACCACTGTCCTACAACACGACTACCAAATTTCCGTGGATCTTGCAATAGTCAATTTCAACAATATGGTTTGCGCCGTCGACGGTTGATATCATACGTTTTCAGCGTATGGTGGGGGTAATTTTGAACAAGTGAAGGCCGCACAAAACCAGCAGATCACTAGAATACCCTTAAAACTTATTTTTAAACATAAAATTTATTTTCCTCAAATAAATTTTGTTTTTTGACTTATTTCTTATCAAACTTACTTCAAAATACATTTTGATGGAACAAAGAGTGGTGATGAGCTCTTCACAATAATCTCACAACCACTTCACATGGAAACTTTGGATTTGATACTTCAAATGTGTAAATTGAAAGGTACAGAAAAAGAACCATCATAACCCATAGGAACATTCATAGACACATAAAAAATATATATGTTTAGTAATTGAGAAAAAAATATTTTTTTGTAAAAAATATTCTTGTAGGTAAATGGTGATATGAGAATAGAAAAAATAAGCGTGTTACATATATGTGCGTAACATATCTACAAACAGGTTTTGGAACTATACAATTTTAAAAGTTACGTTATAAATCTTTCTCTCCAGGAAAATTTGATGTTTTGAACCCTGATTGTTCTTTCTTTCTACCCAAGTTTAATTTTTTTAAATTTCCATCAGCTGTATCTGACATGTAACTACTGTCATTAAAAAAATTAAAATCTTGGACATTCTGGCATTACTTTTTGCAATGTGTTTTCTGACACATTGAATTTCAGTAAGCTCCCTCAAATAAATCTTCAGAAATTATCATATAATCAAATAATACAATTAGTTTTCACTCACCTTTGCATTTCATGACCTGTTACAATACCCGGTGTATCTAAGAAAACTAACTGAGTGGAACCATCGACAGTTATAGCTTTAATGTTATGTCGGGTTGTATGCACCTTTTTTGATGCTGAGCACACCTATACAAGAAAATATATTCAATTTATTGCATGCTTTTGTAAAGTTAAATAAAAAAAGGAATTGACAGGTGACTCACCCGTCTACCAACTAAAGCGTTAACTAACGTGCTTTTACCGGCGTTAGGTGGACCTATTATTGCAACTTTCAAAATTTTCTCGTTTGAATTTTCATAAAAGCTATTTCCACTAACGTGTCGAAAAGCTAAAGAGTACACCAATTGCCTTGGAAAGTGCACATAGCGAAATTTGACGGAATACATTTTATGAGTTTTTACACCTCACTTTCTAAAACAGTAAAATTCTTCCCTTACATGATCAAAGTCATACTTCGCAAACATCGCTCACCACAACCTCACATGAACACGAAAAACCAAAACAGCATTACACGCAACTACACTGTTTCCAGGCACATGGCATATACGTGTTGTGGGTATTTGATTTGGGGCTGATTTGGCCCCTCGGCATACCACAATAGGAAGTAACAAACGAATGCTACACATAGTACCAACGGATTCAGACTTTAATAAAAAAAACGCAAAGCTGGAACACTTACAAATGCTGTTTTGGATGTAATTAATCATCCTAAAATGACAAAATCAGTATTTACACAGAAAAGTCTATCATTTACACATAATTTTCTCAACAGAAAATGATATTCACCTGAATGATGTTTTACACAAATGTTTAAGCTGTTTATATTTGTACAGTTGGCTTCATTGAGTAAAGTAGTCAATATGTCATGAATATTTTGACAATCTTTACTAGCAATAACTCTTTTCTCGTGACTTCATTTAGTTGTTTCTAGATAATGTTGCTTTTGTTGATGCATATGACTTAATACACACGCTTTCAAATTTCGAATGTTTTGTTGTATAGGTTATGAGAGTCCGTTTGATTTGTCAATTATTCCGTTTTAGGAATGAGATTGATTTCTAATTGTGTCGGTTTTTAGAAAGCCCTTTAAAAAAGATCCCAATCAAGATGTTCGGGTCAAGTTCAGTGACTAGTGCCTTCACTCATTTGAAGGCTTCATCCAACTCAGTTGTTTTCGAAGCTCTCGTAATAATACGTAAATTCATAGCCAAAAACGAACGTAATGTAAAAGTGGTGCGTGAAAAAAATGTTTTGAAAGATCTTGTAAATATTCTTGGCAAATCTAATGAAAAGAATTTGGATATTACCCTAAGCATCCTTGGCAACTGTTGCTTGGAAAATGAAAGTAGAATCGAGGTATGTTAATGTGCATTGAAATTAATGTTGTGCCGTTATGTGACAAAAAATAACAATACAATGTGGTTCAGCTGTTGCATCTAGGAATTGTGAAAGCAGTTGTCACAGTCTTCAACAGCACTGGCCGCGATGCCATTCAAGGACGGGCTTGCAGAGTAATTGGGAATCTAGCTCTGACCTATACCATAGCTGTTGAACTTCATAAAGAGAATGTGATTAATAGTTTGATAAATCTTGTGGACTCAGGAGGAAATAACTCTATTGCTTCACAGCAAATGGCTGTACGAGCCCTCAGGTATAGTACTAATCTTTTACTAGATGATATTAATTTTCATATTATTACTTATGTCATAATTTCTTGCAGAATTCTGTGGGCTGTGGAATCTGAAAGAGTTGCAATGTTAGACTTAAATGTAATTCAAAAAGTTGCCATGCTTTTAACAACACCCTATGAAAATAAAGAACAAAAAGAACTCTTAAAAACTGTAATTAAGGCTCTTACAGTGTTCACTCATCGCTGTTCTGAGCAGTGTGCTTTTCAGGTAAAATATGATATTCATAATAATATAAATAAAGGTTTTTGTTTTGTTACTTATGCATCAGGCAAGAATGCTATATGTGGTATTCACTAAACATTAATATTTAACGATCCTACATTTACAGGTTCATGCAGATGGTTCAGTACTTCAGACTTTACTATCTTATTTCTCAAAAGATGAAATAAAATCATCTGTCATTATTTGTGTTTACAACTTATGTCACATTGGTAGTTCAAGACCTATATTAGGAAGTGCTGGTGTTGTGAAAATTATTGTGAAAGAATTGGCTGTGTTGAGCTTCCAGATGTCTGGTAATATTATTTATACTTGCTTTATTAGTTGTTTTTTAAAAGAATTATTAATTTTTGATGTATTAAACAGATTTTTCTATCAATGGAAGGTTTGCAGACTTTTCTGTAAAATATTTAGGGAGTGAAAATGAAGTTGAATTATCACAAATACAATTTAAAGACACTTGTAGTATAATTATTATTGATTACTGTTATTCATTTTATACTGAAATTATCTTTGTTTATTTTTTTTCCAGAGCCAACTGAATCTCAAAGTGCTCTGATATCTTGTCTTTGTTTACTTTGCCGTGAATCAGTAAATCGTGCGAAAATTAGAAGAGCAGGAGGTTTACCTATTATTCTTTCAATTTTAAGAGATTGTCCAAAGTCTTCACTTCAAACAACTGCACTTCATGCTCTGTTACTCTTTGTATATGATGAAGTAAGTTTACAAGAACTTTTGAAAGAAGGGTTGATCACTGTTTTAGTGACAAAATTAAGTGAGTTTGTGAAAAGCCATGGCTCAGAACACAGTCATGAAGTTATGAATGTAGCAAAAATCCACATCCATTCAAAAAAGAGGCATTTGTCATCAGATTCTAATTCTATTTTTTCAAATAAAACCGACGAAGAAGGTAATGTTGAAACATCAGAGAAGAGTAAACAAGCTTCAGAAGTAAATGATGTGTCAGATACAAAAAACAGTTCTGAGAATTGGAAAAGATTTCGCATCAGTAGCCCAAGTTATCAAGCTGTGGTGCAAGAAATTGGATTTCCGAAAAGGTAGAGAACTTGATTTTACATTATTGTTGACTTACACCAAAAATGTTTTTGATGCTTAAAACAAAGACCTCTCTTATTAAATCACATTGCATACTATGTAATTTATTTAAATACAATCTCCAAATATCTCACAATTCTTTGCAAAATGCTTTTTCAGGAGTAATAAAAAAAGCTGCAACAGCTCTGGTATCACAAGTCCTACTCATTCAGGAGACTTTTTATTAAAAATGAATAGCCCTGAACGAAGTGTTGGAAGTGATAGTTACCAAATGGGGGACTGGAGTCCTGGAAGTCCAAGAAGTATGTGTTTTTCTCCTGAATCATCTCCTGCTTATGGAAGACAATGGAATCTATCTCCAACATCTACGCAGACATCACCATTTGATGTGTGGTCATCTACATCATCTCCTGTATCTCACAGTTCAATTGACTGTGATATACCAGAAGTCTATTCTCCAGTTTGCCAAGATGCTCAAAGTGATGATGATGGCAATGATGACAATGATAATGGTGATGATATTTGTAAGGGAAATGAATATGTTTGCATAGCACATGTGTCAGACAATATCTCAGAGGAGTGTGATTCAAATACAGTGAGTGCATTGAGTTGTTTTTAGTCAATAGAATCTGTTAACTGATGTTTCAATAAATTTGTCATTGTGCTTACCAGAAGATTAGCACGTAAATTACATTGTTAATTTGATACCCTTTTGATTTTAAAGTTTTTCTTTTTTTTTGTAGCCAAGCATTCAGTGTGATTCACCAAATACTAATTGGGAAATTCTGTCAGAATCATCATTTAATGGAGGCTTGCTTTCCAGTAGAGAAGAGTCTGATCTTTTGATTTTAATATCCCGTGTTTCCCATATGGAAATTGTGGTGGAAGATTTAGTTCTTAAAAACACCTTGTCCACATTACTAAATTATATAAGATTACTCAGAAACCCTTTGCCACGTGCTGGACGGATTCTTGCAAGAATTGTAAGGTAATTAATTTGAAGAAGAAAAACAAATTGGCAACTATTTTAAGTAGAATTACCTGTTGAAGTATTTGGCTTGTTTGTTATTATTGTTACATTTCTTTTTAGGACTCACCATTATTTTATTCATCTAGTATGTCAACAATTTGTTTTAAATATTTATGCCAGCCTCTGTGAGCCTTTGCACTCTGCATGTGGTTCATGTGAAAGACTGAATTCAATAGGAAAGAATTTAATATCCAAATTATCCATTGTAGCAGAAAGTGGTTTTGGTGAGGGAGAACTCTCTCACAATTTATTGAAAGCAGAAAAAACTATTAGAGAAACTGTAGCAGTAACCGTCCCATTTGTAATCAAGTAAGTTGTATTTCTGAAAAATCAAATATAAATATTTTTTATTTAATTTTAAATAATTTTTGTTTCTATTATAAATAGGACTCATAAACTTTTAAGAAAATTATTGATAGATTGCAAAGGCCTAGATATACTTCATGACATGATAAAATCAAGTCCCAAAACTCCAAACTCTCTTTTCGAATACATTCCAATAAGCCTCTCAATATTAGCTGCTTCTCTTCAAATCAACTGTCCAGTTGATTCTAATTACCAAGGAAATAAGCATTTTTCAACAAATAAATTGGAAGCAGAATTGAAGGAATCCGTAAGTTCTAGTTTAGATATAATGAATTTATGAATCAGAATTAATACTGTATAAAATTCTGATTAGCAACACTTCCGTTTATATGTTTTTATTATATTTATTTTTATTATGACAGATTTCAAGTGATAGTGTTACTATCAGATTCGATAATGGTGAAGAAGTTACTACAAGTAAATCATTTTTAAGTGAGCATTCTCCTGTATTTGAAGCAATGTTGCAAGGAAGCTTTAAGGAAGCAGAACAAGAATGTATCTCTCTTCAAGATGTATCTCCCCTTGCTTTCAGGCATTTATTGCATATAATGAAATTGGGAACAATACCCTCTTCTATTCCTAGTCTTACTTTAACAACTGCTCTGGAATTGCTTTTGGTTCTTGATAGATTTTTACTTCCAGGCAGTAAAGAACTGTCAGAATTAATCATCAATCAATTTTTGCAAGCTTGCAGTACTTTTGATGTTTACAGTAGCATATTAGTGTACTCTGGAACTCTAGAAGTGTTTGATAATTTACGTATAAAAACAATTGAATACTTATTGGCATCAAATATGAGTGTTAAAAAGCGAAGAGACATCTTTAGTAAACTTCTGGAAAGTCAGTGTTCTTTACAAGTGGAAAAGGATGTATTTAATGTTCTGCGTGAAGGACTTATTAGGAAATGCAAATGAAAGCTGCAGAAGAAATTGAAATATTATGGTGTAAACTATTGTATATATACGGGTCACATTATGTATATAGTTACCTTAAAACTACTTACAATAGTAAGTCCAGGTTGGCAGAGAAATTATATGATGTGCAACAAGTACAGGTTGTAAAATTTAATTTGTAATCTTACAAACTTCATAGAGAAGGGAAGGATATCACAATTTGGTACATCGTTGTTCGCGAATTAGCCAAAATGAAACAATTTACACTAAGCAATCTTTTGGATTGATTTGTATGAAGTTGTAAATGATTGTATCTTCAATGCTTGAAATTGTAAATAGATTGTAACATTTTCAGAGTTATGGTGATGTTTGTCGGACTACCATGTAAAAAAAAAAAAAGGGGGAAAGTGCCATGAGATGGCATAACTTGATATCTGTTGTTTCATACATCATTCAAATGACTCCTGCAATATTATGCACTAAATGGAGGTTCTAAGGAAACAAAGAACCCCCTTTAAGAAGCTCTTGCATTAATAAAGAACATAATATTTATACTTCTTCAAAACAAGTTCAAGTTATTCTTTGATTTCAATATTTCCTTCATTATAAATATTCTGGTGAACAAATTGCTTAAAAACCTTTTTTTATTTTGGAAAGAACAAAGTAGGGTTACACAAACACACCCTCTTATCAAGAGATTGACCTTCCCGGCTTGTTGATTATGAGATGGAAGGCATTTAGTACACCTTTGAATGTTGTACCCTCGTAACAACGTCTAAATCATTTTGTTGGGACTCCTCTCGAAGTTCCAAGAATTTCCACTCCCAACTACCCCATTGAAACTAGTGAATTAATGACTAAATTACTGATATTTTACAATTTGTAATATTAAGTAAATTTATTACCACCTAAATGTATTTGACACTGCCTCAAAGGAAGCACCAGAATATAAAATTTTAAAGCTTATTATAATGTGATTCGGTGTTTTTATTTCAAAAATCTTTATAAACTTGTGTCTTTTGGCCAAACTTATCTACTATAATAAACATTTCAAATAGTAAAAGGAACCCTTTAACTTCTATAGCCAAGAAAAATCAATGGTTTTGTTATGTAAAAATATACAATAAATCCTTAAGTTTTGGGAACCGTCATTTAGCACAACATACAAAAAATATGGACCCATCATCTTGCTGGTTTCAAATCATTTCTAATGTATAACACAAGTTCGCCTGTAATTAAAATCACTACCTTATGGTCGCTACATCTCGCGTTTCTCAAATATGCTTCGCAGCATTGATGCACAAATTTTAATTAAGGTTTGTGGATTGCTTGAAATAAAATACAATACATTGAGTTTACAAATTGTAGAATAGAGTAAAAATGGAATTAAATTGGCATTTTTAACAGTAAATTATAATTTAAATTAAATTAATTAATTTTCATACTTGGATCCAAACCTTTCCTTTGAAGAAGTTTCTCATGGCCGGTAGTTGGTGCAGTAGTGGAATTTCAGATCTATTAATGAGGGGTCAAAGGGCACCCCGTGTAAGATGGTAAAAAATTCCCCTAAACCAAATGGCATATGAGTAGTTACACTATAATTCTAACATAAACATTTTTTTTTGAGATTTGTTAACCCTGTCCCACCATCCACGTGCCTCTATGGAGAGGAACGAGAATTTTTTTTTTGTTTTGTTTTTTGAGTCGACTTAACACTTTTATCTGATCGAAAAAATATTTTAAAAAAATAATTTTTTTTACTATCAGAAACTATTTTTGACATTTTCTCACAGCTAAATTCGAACACAAAGTTTGTTCTCAGAAAAAAGTAATTTATACTGTCTTAGAATCCAGAACAGGCTTGACAAAATATCAAGAGTTCTTTTTAACACAAAATGTTGTGAATATTTTGATTGCTGTGCTGAAAAAAACAACAACAACAACCATTTTACCATTCAAATTCACATACACTTCGAAAATTAAGTGCAACAGTTCTGTGCATTTATTTGTGTTTACGCATTTACAATGAAAATTGTTTTTATTAAAAAAAACAAACACTTTTTTTAATAATGGTACCGACATTATAATTAAAATAACATATTTGCTTTTATAATATCAGAAAAGTGAAATTACTCTAATAACGTTGAGATAAAAAAAAAAAAAAATATTGAGTGAAGATAACGGATTTGCTTTTTTCTCAGAGTACACTTGACACTAAACAAATATGCTCTGGTTACAATATATCTTAAATTATATTGGAAAACCGTACTTGCAAATATAATATAATTAATTGTTTTATTCAACGTCATTCATATATTTTCACTTTTTCAAAAAATTGTAAATGAGCATTTTTTTCTTTTATACACTATATTTACGCTAGAATTGCCGGATCGCAGAAAATTAGTCACTAAGTGACATTGAATCCATATGATTCGCAGCATTGACAAATTTCATCTTACATGGATGAAGATCTAAAGTTTTCTGTTTGCCGACTACGCTTCCAGAGATTACAAGCAATGCCTAAACACAATTTTTTTAAGCCCCCCGAAACGTTTTTCGGCATTTAAAATATAAAAACACAATGTAATGGAAATAATTTATTTAATTATAACATACATATGTTCCTAACAGTACTAAAATATATGGTACATTACAATAAAATATGCTACAGACCATTACATTCAATTAGGGTACGACAATTATGGATTATACAAAAATTTAGTACAGCTCCCATTTTGTATGCTTTTTTGATAAAAATATACCCAAATGAACATAAAATATCACCCATAAGTTGTTCGTCAAGATTTTTCTCTAATAATACCATTTTAAAGACTATTGAAACTCACGACTGCGACGACGTTCTATTTCGGCACATGTAAGGTGATCAATAACCGTTGCAATATATTCTTCTTCACTCTAAAATATTCCATATTCGCGCGGATTGAAATTAATTAATTTTGATGACCCTCCTCTGGATATTTTCAGATATTTCGGACGACGGCGACGGCGACGTTGAGGTCGAGGAAGACGGCGAAGGCGGACAGGCGGCGACGACTACAAACTTGTACTTACTCAATGACAATAAATCGACCTCACACGATTATGTAGTTTCTTTCTCTTTAGTTTATAGATGCCTCAACAGTACAGAGCGTTCAGTCATGTGACCGGTTTTTTTGACAGCCACTGATGCCACACCACATGGATACATACCTGGAGGTGTGGCCCAGTGATTAACATGCAGTAATGATTCGATTTCATTTCACGAACGTTGGCTAACGTGTCGTGGAGCTGTGGCACAACTTAATGTATTGTCATCCGACAAAGGAGAAAGTTCAATGAAAAATATTTTATTATAGTGATAAAACATCATTGAAGAATTCTGAAACTATATTCAAGGTTACTATTTTTAAAAGTTAATAATTTACGCATACTGTGTTCAGTTAGAATTTGGAGAGTTCACTGCAGAAGAGAGGTGCAGCTAACATCTCTTATGTTGGCGGGCCTTTTGCCCGAGTTTCAAGGACAAAAACTGCTGAACACTTGTCGAATATTACAACTTCCTAACTTTGCTACAGAGCACTTTTACTCCTTCCTGCTCTCTCTATGCCCTATAGGACTTGCTCACCGCACTCGTCTGCTTCTCTCGGCGTCTTGTACAGAAACAAGTTCTTACTAGCGCTGACCCGCGACAAGATGCCCCACCGGCCTCCGGGACTAGTTGTGACAATTTTATTATTTTTAATTTATGAAGGTGTATGGCCCATAGTTTAAAATTTATAATAAATGTAACAACGAGAATGGTTCTTTGCAATAATTCCCTCTACGGGGCAAGTTATGACTGGACTGGGCACGTTGTGACAATGTAAAAGAAACTATAATATTGGTATATTCAACAACTCTACACTGCTGATTCATTTTTAAACTGACTTTATGTAATCTTCATTGTTTTCGACATCCGAATGGCAGTGAATGCAAGCATAATATTCTGCGTTTTTAGTAGTTTACATGAGCTTATTTCTTAGAAGTTATACACTGCAACCAGATTGTCCACCCTGATGTTTGAAATGTTCTAAACAAACGAGACAGACACACTCTCATCTATAGATATCTCGGGTTTGTCTTTTGTCTTGACATATTACATCTGGTCTGATTTCCAAAGGACTAAACGCTGATGTAGAAAACCTATCTTATAGAAAAGAAAAGGCAATACTGCCTTCTCTGTTATCTGCAGCTTGAACTATTGTTGAAGACCCCTGGAATCTCATCACAAACGAGTAGATTTTGTGTCAAAGAGCTTGGTTCAATTATAACATTTGGTGAAATAATTTCTTGCTGTTTTACTTCGACATCTTCATAGTTAACCAAAACTGGATGATGTGATTGAAAAGCATAAAAAGTCGTCTTCTGTAAAAATAATCCTATTAAAGTCGTATTCGTGTGGACGAAATCCTGATTTTGGTCGAGAGTAATAGCACCAGGTGGAGCCATTTCGACTACAGTGTAAATTGAAACAGTGCTTCCCAGATGCGATTTCATCCACTTCCACACACCGATTGAACATATTTACACAGTTCCAGTTCTTGGTTTTTACTGAATACCAAAAGCGATTTTTAATCATCCATTTGAATCCATCCCTTCTGCATTAGGCTTTATCTTTTTCCTTCTTTATATCCTCTTGTAATTCCTCACTATATTTCCTGAAATTAAAATTATTACTGTCAAACAGTATCGGGGCAAGTATGAAGGTTGCCTTTTATGTTTCGGGATTTGGCAACCCTAGTGTTGCAATCTGGCAACTGACAGCTCTATCGTAAAGTTGGATGTTTGGAGGTTATACGTACCCAGAACATTTTGACATACGAGCGCTATTTGTGTTGTTTACAGTAACTTAAAATATTCATCTTGGCCCAAAAATGGAATTAAATTGTGAACATTTTCGTGCGATTATTTTTTACGAGTTTCGACGTGGATTAACTCAGCAACAATGCAGGGATGAACTTAATTCAATTTCTGGCGATGAAGCTCCATCAAGGACCAGGGCTTATCGATGGTGTGAATTCAATCGTGGTCGTAGTTCACTCCAAGACGAATTTCGCGAAGGTCCGCGTTGTTCCGAAAACCATTGATGCTGTGCGTGAACTCATATTGCAAGTTCGTCATGTGACCTATCGTGAGATTGACACAACCTTAGGCATTAGTGGGACCAGCATACATTTAATATTGCATGAACATTTGACTGTCAAAAAAATTTGTTCGCGTTGGATCCCACAAAATTTGTCAATCGCTCAATAAGACGCTCGTGTCGATTGGTCGAAAGAAATGGTCAAAAAAATCGATCGCGGTGTTTCGAAACACGACTATGAAGTCACAACAGGTGAGAAATCATAGATTTACGCGTATGAGCCCGAATGTAAACAGCAGTCGACTGTATGCGTGTTTCAAGATGAGCAAAATCCAATAAAAGTTGTTCGCGCACGAAGCACTTCCAAACAGATGGTCACCTGTTTTTTCGAAAAAACTGGACATGTCGCAAGCGTTCCACTAGAACAACGCAGAACAGTCAATTCTGAGTGGTACACAACGATTTGTTTGCCAGCTATCTCCAAGAAATCAGCAAAACCAACCGCCGAAGACGGATCACTCTTCACCACGACAATGCGATCTCTCACACAAACAACTACATTTTTGAGCACCCAAAACATCGATTTGATGAGTCATCTGCTGTATTGTCCTGACTTGGCACTGAATGACTTCTTTTTATTCCAGTACATAAAAAGCAAACTGAGAGGTCAACGTTTTTCGACACCTGAAGAAGCGGTTGCTTCATTCAGAATGCATGTTTTGGAGATACCTCAATTAGAGTGGCAAAAGTGCTTCGACAATTGGTTCAAACGCATGCAAAAGTGTATAGATCTTCATGAGGAATATTTTGAACAACAATAAAGTGATTTTCGATGATTAATATTTTGATATGATGTCGGCAATTAATGATTAATATTTGTTTTTGTTCTCTAATCCTGAAATATAAAAGGCAACCCTCGTACTGACTCTCTCACAACGTGCTCCTTAGAACCTGTCACGAGCCCCGAGACATACTAATATGAATTTCTGCTTTTATTTTAGGTTATTTTGTCATTGATATAAATCAAAAACATTAAATTGCAGTTAAAAAAAGGAAATTTTTCAATAATACTGAGTAGTTGACATACCTCAAATTTATTTTTGCGAAGATTGACTGGAACAATCCGATAGAATTTTACTTTCCTACGCGTAAAACACAAAACGTAAATAATCACACCAAGCAACGGATCCCGCAGCAACTCCAAAAGCACACTGAGGCAAAGGTTTGATAATGCATGTTAACTATGACGAGC